CGCTGCTCTAAGGGGAGGTTCCTTACATGTGCAACCTGTTTGGAGTCACTCCACAACATCTTAGTAGGATCAAGATTTGGGTCTTCATGTGCTAATTCTACATTTGCAAAAACAACATATTTTCTGTACAATTTGGGATGAATTTTGCATTGACATGTACAGAAATTGAAGCAAACTGTTGACCTGCAATGAAAATATGTGACAAACTTTTAATTTGCAGTAGCAACCTACAAGATAGTAAAGCCTGCATAAAAATACACAGAATTATGACTCTATTAATTTGGTTTTAACTGATGGAGTATTGAGACTGATGTTTTAAATTAGTTTGAGGTTCAGTTGTTTATAATCAAATAATGAAACTGAACCACAATCAGTGATGCAAAGCAATCTTTGCAGGATGAAAACTTAGAACTTTCCTTTGTATTTCACGAGCAGATGTACGGAAGAGGATTAGGGCCACTGAAAATAAAATAATAATTAACTGATTTTGAAATTTTATTTTTTATTTCAGTTTAACATGGGAAAGAAGTCAGAATTCTGACTTTTTTCCTCAGAATTCTGACTTTAATCTCAGAAAAGAATTCTGAGATTAAAGTCAGAATTCTGAGATTAAAGTCAGAATTCTGAAAATAAAAAAAGTCAGAATTCTGATTTTTTTTCTATACTAAACTGAAAAAGAAATTTAAAAATCAGTTAACTTTTTTTTTTCTTCACTGGCCCTAACCCTCTTCCGTACAGATGAGCATAAAATGCATGCAAATTGTCAGAGAGGCACTTCAGTCCTACTGAGAACAAGATGCTATTCCGAAGTTAAATAAGCATGCATCATGCATAAATAAGCAGCATCATGTCTTCCTACATTCTAGGAAATTTAAGATATGCAATCTTGTGGCAGTGGTTTCAAAACAATAGCTAAAACCAGATTAATAAGTTGTTCCAACACATCTTATCTATTACAGTGTGAAAATCCCTGACACACCTTGGTACATTGAAACAGATCCGTGAGTAATATATATTAAAGCAAAACCCTTTTTGCAAAGCTGTGTAAGTCCTAATAAAGGAAACTAACATTTTATATGTGTCTGTCTAGGCTTCCTCAGTTGCCTGCGTCTTCCTGTGTGGGAACAAGATGGAACTACAATTGCTTTAATGGAGGAAACTGCTCTGAAGCCGGGAACACTTGTTACTGCCTTCCTGGCTTCACCGGTCAATGGTGAGACCTGCATGATGATCTGTAGCGTCTCTTTGGGTCACTGGAGGAGAACTGCTTATTAAGCATAATGTCTTTAAATTCTTCCTGCTCTTTAACAAAGTTAAGATGAGCCTCAAAAATCCTAAAATATTGAATATGGGAATGAATGGTGCCCCCTGCCGGAGTAAATAAGTACTACAGGTAACAAGATGGCTGCAGACAGATTTTGTCTGTTCTCGTGAAAAAGAAAACGCTTTTTGCTGGAATGGACTTTGACAGGAATTGATATTAAAAAAAAGAAGAAAAAGCACGGTGACTGATTTGGTTTGTTTTATTTTTTTTTTAAGTGTCTCTTTAATAGTGAAAATTTGAATTTATCTGATGGTAATTTAAGGATGATCAACATTTGATGCAGGAAAGACAAAAACAATAAATGAAAAGACAGTAAAAAAAAAAAATAAAGCTGAATGTCAGCATAGAAATGATAAAAAAAAAAACATTTTAGGTGTATTAAAAGGAATATTATAACATCAAGACTGATTTAAAAAAAAAAATGGAAAGCAATGAAAGCATTTGAAGTAAACATGTTACCAAATATATTTTCAACAGATACTGTCTGAAAATTTCAATATATATTTTCTAAAACATTATTTAGAAACATAAAATCTATTGTATGGATTTATGAGTAGTTTAGTTTTAAACCTTAATTCTAGGACCTAGTTTTTGCGTTAGGCTTTACATTTTTTTTAATTATTTAGACAAAACACCTGTTTTAAAGCAGCATTGTGTGATTTTCAGCGACATGAAACGTTTGTCTACATTAAATCACAGCATTGAATTCATAAATTCTTCAAA